CAGAGACGAGGAGGGATGAGGAGAAGACGTGACAATCAGGAGGAGACAGTGAGGAGGAGCAGGGGCCTCTGGGAAATTGGCACACTGTTGCTTGGTGTGCGGGATGGAGGGACCGGTCTTCCTGGAGGGTGAGGGCAGGTATGGGAGGAGATGAGGCAGGGGGTGCGGGGCTGGATGCCCTAGCCTCTGGGGCTGGGGCCTCTGGGGTTCTCGCTCACCCCGTGCTGCGAGCGCAGGGAAGGAGCAGCCTAGCCAGCTCACAGCCAGGGCCTGGCCCCTTCCCCAGCTGCTCTCTGCCTCCCCTTGCGCCCGCTGCTGCCCAGTCAGCTCAGGGACTACCTGACCTTTGTTCTGCTCCGGTGGCTAGAAGGCTCTGAAAGGAAGGAGGCTGTGTATCACAGGAGCTCCTTCCCTCGGTTCCTTGGGGCCCGCGGGCTCAGCCTGAGGCTATGTCTGGGTTGGATGATGGCCTTGTCCGCTGGTGGCCTGAAGCCTCTCTGGGTCTGTCATGTTGACACCTTCTTCTGTTCTTCACACCAGATCCAAGCACCACCTTGTGCTCTGCAGGGTGTGGGCCCAGGGCACGCAGACCTAGTTCAGCCATCCCTGCCCTGAAGGAGTCCACAGCCCAGGGAACGGTCCCCTTTTATGCACCTCCTATGTGCCACTTGACATACGTCACCTCATTTACTATCAACCCTCCAAGGCAGGGGATTTTTTCCCCCCGTTTTACAGGTGAGGAAAGGGAGGCTCAGAGGGGTTAACTTGCCCAAGAGGCAGAGACTGGTCCATCTGCCTCCTGAGCCCAGGCTCTTTCCATCTCCAAATTTCAGAATATGATTGAGGGCCAAGTTGGTGGGTACCAAGAGTCTGTGCAGAAGTGCTCAGGAAAAGGGGAGCTTCGAGGGCTGGAGGGTTGGGGGCGGAGGGCTTGCTGAAGGAGAAGGAGGTTTGGCCCAGGGTGGAGCCCAGGGAGAGAGGAGCAAGGAATCGCAGGGGGCCAGGCTGGACCTGGGACTACTATACTGGGTCCCAGCTGGCTGGGGGTGTGTGTGTGGGGGAGAGCTGTGCAGGGCTGGCTCTGAGGGGGACCTGCACAGGACTGCCCCCTGTCAGGACACCTGGGTTCAATCCCACCTCCATCTTCCCCTACTAGGTGACCTTCGGTATGTAGCTCAACCTCTGACCTCCCTCTCTTCACCCATATTGAGCCTTTGTGCAAATTAGCAAAAGGTTCCCCTCCTCCAGGACCATGTCCAGCATCTGCTGGAAAAGGGCCGTGATAAATACACACACTGAGAGTAACTATGACGTGAGCGCCACTTCTTAGTGATGGGGTCCACAGCTCACTAAAGCTCATGTGCTGGCCCTTCCCTGAGGCTTGGGGTCTTCTTTTGCTCTTGGATGGGGATGAAAACCCACAATCGAGAGCCCCAGGCCCCGTGCAGAGTGGGAGAGGTGAGGGAGGGCCGATGGGTGCACCATCCCTTGCAGCTGGCCGTGACCTCGGAGCCCGCGCCTCCTGGGAGGCCTCTTTCCTGTTGTGGCCCCGACAGAGGACCCCTACTGCTGTTTGGAGCCTCTTTATTGGTGTAGCTGCTGCCCACCACTTCCTCCACCAGTTCCTGGCCTTCCCTTCCCCTTTCTTCCAGTCCCTGCCATCCAGATTTTTCCTCTGATTGTTCTTACAATGACCTGCTCCCTCCCCACTGGGGTCAGGCCTCTTCATCCGCATCTACTGGCTCCCTGTGGCCTTGGGGCCCGCAGCTTCTAGCTCCCAAGATTTTCTTTCTTTCTTTCTTTGTTTTTTTTTTTTGTTTTGTTTTGTTTTGTTTTTTAAGACAGAGAGAGAGCACAAGTAGGCAGAGCGGCAGGCAGAGGGAGAGGGAGAAGCAGGCTCTCCACGGAGCAGGGAACCCGATGCGGGACTCGATCCCAGGACCCTGGGATCATGACCTGAGCCAAAGGCAGACGCTTAACTGACTGAGCCACCCAGGCGCCCCTCTCCCAAGATTTTCATGTCTAGGTGGCCCCCAGCCCCAGCTCATGCCTGGTTCTGGTGATGGGGTTCCAAGTTCCTTGGTGCTTAGGCCGGGCCCCCATCTCTGCCACACCCGGGGTGCCTCACCCATCTGCCGGCTCTAGTTTTCTCAGCCGGGCCAGTGTGGCGCTTCAGTCTTTCCTTGTCCTTCCGCCCCATTGTCAGGATCTGGCCAAGTGGGGGCAGTGGCCCCTGTGGTTTCCTGGCCACCTGTCAGAATTGCCCCTGGGTCCTGCATCGTACCTCAGCCTAAGACCCCTCCCCAGCCCCTGGAGCGGGTTCTCTAACCTGCCACAGTCCCTGAATCCCAGGCTGCTTGCCTGGGCCAGGAGCCATCATCGGCTGAGGCTCACCCCTTACCCCCCGGCCCTCTGGGGACCTCGTCTATGGGCCACAGACGCAGCAGCCTTGCCCCTGCGGTGGAGAGATCTCTGTGGACAGATGGCCCCCCACCACTGCCAGCCGGGGCTGCACGGAAGCCCACGGCCCCTCTGGGGGGGCTGGTAAGCCCCCAGCGAAATCTCTCCTGGGTGGGTGTCCTCATGCCGGAGTAGGAGAAAGGATCTTTTCTCACCTACCATTTCATTAACAAATCTTTCTTAAGTTTCCACCCCACCCTGGGAATATGAAGGCCACCCAGATCTTGAAGGCGCTTACAGTACCACAGAGGAGACTGACATGCAGAGACAGTTTCAGAGCTTCGGGGTCTCTGCCCGAACAGACAGGGGGGGCCAGGGCTCTGGAAGCTCTGTGGAGAGGAGGTTCTCCCTGCTGGGACAGGGAAGGCCTCAGGGAGGAGGAGGGTCGCCCCGTGAACTGGGGAGGGATTGCCTTCTAAATGGAGGGTATGGCTTGTGCAGAGGCACAGGGCTTGAAAGAGCCCACTTGAGGGACTGCGGGTGATTCGGTGCGAGGCCTGCAATGCCTGGGCGAGGGTACAGGGGAGGGCTGAAGCCAGTGAGACTCTTGAGCTGGGCCATGACATGACCAGAGGTGGCTCAGGCTTGGAAGACCGATGTTTAAGCTAGCCCGGGACCAACCGGCTGCACTCTGCAGGCAATGGGGGGGGGGGGGGCGAATGAGTTCGTATTTGTGAGCAAATAAGGACTGGGGTCAGCAATAGGGGCTCTGGGGAAGTCAAGGCCCGGGAGATGCTAGGCCCGCCCAGCTGGGGGTGCCGGCTCCGACGGGGCTTCCCACGGCCCTCCGCCCCATGGCTGCTGAAGCGTGGCCCTTCTCTGCTTCCCCCAAACCGCCCCGGCCATTCATGGGTGGCTGTCGGGGTTCCAGTGCTCCAGGAGGGCCCGCGGCTTGCCCTGCTCCCATCTGGGGTTTCTCCACTCCTGAGCGAGGCTTAGCCTCGCAGGCCGAGAGCTGGGGCTCGTGCCACTCTGTTTGGGCAGGACAGACACAGGTGGTCGACCGTCGAAGAAGCCACCCACCACCACCTGCTGGAAAGATGGTTCCAGGGAGTTGTCACCTCCATAGCTCTGTTTATGTACAAAGTGGGGCAAAGCAAGGCAGCCTGGCTCTGTACATGACGGTGAGCGGAGGCGGCTGCTTTCCCTGTCGCCCAAGCTCCGGACCCTCTTGCCCAGGGCGAGGCACGGAGTGGGTGCTCCGTGGGGAGCATCATGGCTCCTCTGGGTTTGAGGGCCTTTCCTGCGTGCTGGGAGAGGCAGAGCGGGCTTGAGGACGCACTGCTAGAGCACTGACTGCTTGCGGACCCCCGGTCGCTTGGGAGACGCGGCCCCATGAGCAGATCACGGTACACAGGGCATGAGTTTAAAGATGCGGGCACTGATGCTGTGGGAGCCTAGGTGGAGTCCAGGAAGACTTCACAGAGGAGGTGACATTTGAGCTGACTTGAAAGGCGAATGGCGATGTTAGGCAAATAAGCCAGGGTGAGGGAACTGGTGGGGGAAGGGGATGAAGCTCGAGAGGTGAGGGGAGCACCCCCAGAGGGGCCTCCTTGCTTGGCTAAGCAGTAAGGAGCCATCAAGAGGTTACACCGGGGTTAGAGCCATGCCTCTGGGCTGGAAGGGTCAGAGAAGCCTAGGGGAGCTCGCAGGGTTCTGGGCCGTGGCCAGGCAAGAGATGCCTGGGCCACCCGGGCCCTGCAGCCCCTCAAGGTGGGGGTGGTCTTGGTTCTTTTCTGCACTGACTTCCCCTCACCCGCTGTTGGATTATGCTGATGATCTCAGCAGTTTCCCGGAGAGCAGGATGTTCCAGCTGGTTGTGCTTCTGAGATAAGAGGACAGACGAAAGCAGGGATAAACCTGAAGGCCCAGCCGGAAGGGCCTGCAGACCTCTCTGGAAGCAGCAGTGTCGGGGCCCCCACCCCCATCCCTGCAGAAGCTAGGGGGGGCTCCGTGGCCTAGGCCTGAGGGGCCGGTGCCTGGTACGGGGGGCAGAACCCTGTGCTTCAAGTCCAGAGGCTGGGGCGCTCGTCTTGAATCCTCTGCTGGCTTGCTGTGTGACTAGGGCAAGTGGCTTCACCTCTCCGGGCCTCAGTGCGTCTGAGTAGCGTGGGGCAGAGGTGAGAAGGAGCACCTGCACTGCAGGTGTGTGTGGGAAGGGAAGGAGGTGAGGGATGTGACCTCACAGACGGCAGAGGACTGTGCCAGTGTGAAGCCTTTGTTCCTGGGGACCATCGCCAGCATGGGCAGATTGGTGCACCCAGGACAGGCCTCAGCCAAAGGGGCAGAGAAGACCCCTGGGGTGGAGCCCTGATGCCGCCCCTAGCTCCCTACCATTTTGTGGCTTTGGGCTCTGTGGTGTTGAGCAGGTCACTTCCCACTCTGAGCCTCCGGTCCCCACAAGAATGAAGAGGGTAGTAATCCCTGCCTGGCAGGTTTAGCTCTAAAGGGGGAGGCAGGAGGAACATTCTAGGTGGGAGGTGGCCTGAGGGGCCAGCCCCTGACCTCACTTGACCCCTTTCCTTGCTCTGCTCTTCCAGTGGGAACGCCTCTGGTTCTTGCTCCTCACCTTCACCTTCGGCCTCACACTCACCTGGCTCTATTTCTGGTGGGAAGTCCGCAACGACTATGATGAATTCAACTGGTGAGTGGGGAGGGGGAGCACAGGTAGCACGGGGGCCTGGGCAGGTACTGGGGGGCTGTGGTTTGAACCTGTCTCCCAGGCTGCCTCCTTCCTGGTGTGCTAGCATGGAAAACAGGAACGGCAGACTTGGGCAGGGCTCAGCCCGCGTCTGGGGCCTCTGGACCTCATCGTAGACAAGAACCCCAAGGCCCAGAAAAAGACCAGGGCCTCAGCAGAGGAGGTGACCCCAGGGATCCGAAATCCCTGAGTAGGACCTTGGGCAGGGCTGGCGGATGCTACGGTTCTAGGATAGCTCAGGGTCCTTTGTGGGCATGAGCCTCGGGGCCGAGGGCAGGGCCGCCGGATGCTGGTACCTGGGTACACAAGGGTACCTGCTTCTTCCTCACCCCCTCCGTTGCCTGCCTTTGTCAGGCAGTGAAAGGCACGGGAAGGAGAGCAAGTTCCCTGGGTCCTAGTGGGGAACTCCTCCACTGACAGGTGTGGAAACTGAGGCCCCAGGTCACACAGGCAGTGGGAGCAGAGGTGGGGCTTGGAAGCCAGGCCTCCCCGCTCCCCATCCCGTGCTGCCTTTTCCTTCTGGCTAGAAGTTCAGTGTGACCATCAGCACACTCAGTTGAGCCCCTCTTAAGCTCAGTTTCCTCTTCCATAAAATGGGATAACTCCCCCCTCATCAGGTCATTCTGAGGATGGAACGAGATGTTGGCTGTGGGAGGGCTCAGAGCTCCACGTCACCCTCAGGGCCGCTTCCCGGGCTGGAAGGCGGTGGCCATGAGGTTAGAATGTGGGATTTCTAGGACTCTGGGCTTCTAGTGGGCTGTGGTTCTAGGATTCTGGGATGATCCTAAGATGCCTTTAATGGAGTCTGGGCATCTACTCCCCTCGGCGCGGCACGAGGCTGTGGCCCCGTAATTAATGAGCACAAGAACGGATGTGTGGCTGTCCCCCAGCTACCCGGCAAGATGAGCCTGAGTCCCAGAGGTGGCCTCTGGCCTTTATTAACTGCCATCCATCAATTATTCATCCCCCCAGGTATCCAAAGCACGGCACTGTCGTGCGGGAACAGAAACATGCCTGCTGGTCCTCCGCTGCACACCTCGGACAGTTCGGCTGAACTGGAGCGGGTCCACCCCCATCATGTACGGATGGGGAAACTAAGGCCCCAGAGGGCAGGACTCACCCACGGCCACAGAGCCAGTTAGTGCCAAAACAGTTTGAGGACCGTCCGAGGAGACTGAAGCTCAGAGAGGCTAAGTAGACTTTCCAGTGCTCGCTTCGGCAGCACATATACTAAGTAGACTTTCCAAAGTCACACAGCAAGATGCGGGCAGATCAGGGACTTGAGCGTGGCTGACTGTGTCACGCTGTCCACAGAGCTACCTCACTCTGCCCAGCGACTCAGTGCCCTGTCACTGGGCAGTTCAAGCAGAGGATGGGTGCCTGCCGTGTTGGGGAGGCGGCAGGGGGAGGGCCTGCCTGGGACTTAGGGATGGCCTGAAGACCCGCAGCTCCCTCAGCCTGTCACTGAAGTTTTTTGGAGTCGGTGCTGGGATGCAGGAGACCCTGGCCTGGCACTCCTGGTCTCGACAGGGTCTGGGGATCGTTCACGCAGTGAGAGGTTGTGAGCGAGAAGCAGGTGGTCCGGGCAGGATGTGGAGAGCCAGGGAGGGGCCGTGGGGGCCCTTGCTCTCCAGCAGGGCTCCCTGCCGAAAGTGAGAGACAAGTGTCACCAAAACATCTTTCAGGAGTCCTTCCCAAGGAGCAGGTCCTGCCCCTCTTTAGGCCTCAGTGTCTTCAGCTGTACGGTGAGAAGAGTGAACTCAGTGATCTAAGGGGTAGATTTTCCCCTGGAATCTGAGGACGAGGGCCTCGGGAGGGTGCAGGAGAAGGCGGGTGCCCCACAGTGTCCTCCTGGTGTCCCCTCCCAGCCTCCTGCCCAGGCCCAAGATGGCAGCAAGCCAGAAACTGCCTGGTGCTGGCTCACATTCTCTGATTACCCTGAGTAAACTGCTGCCTTCTCTGAGCCTCAGTGTCCCCAGCTGTCCAGGGAGGATGTGGGTGGTTCAGTCTTTCTGGAGAGCAACTAAGCAGCAGCAATCAGGAGCCTTAAAAAGTTCATTCCCTTCGGCCCTGTAATTCTATTTGTAGGATCCTATCCTAAGAAAATAATTAATAATACAGAAAGCTATGTGCCAAAAAAAAGTTTTGTGTGTTCATTTGTAAGAGTGAATCATTGGAAACTGCTGTCATTGGTAGAAAGTTGGCTACATACGGCACATTAATTCAGCAGGCCACATGGCTGGCTGTTCGAAAGTCAGGCTTCCTCGCGATTTTCACTGACATCAGTAAATTCTTGCGTGAATAATGAGAAGAGAATTGATTGAGTACTCACCACATGCCTTGCCTCACTTCATGCTCAGGAAGCCCTGTGAAGGGCACTTTGTTCTCTCCATCGTATAGATGAAGAAACGAAGGCTCAGGGAAGTCAGGGATGACATCTGATCAATCCTCGGATCCCCAAATCTTCATATTTTAGCACTGAAATTGAGATGAACGTCACAGTCGGTGGCATCTTAGACTCAGGGAAGCCTGTCACCTCTGCAGGGTCCTGCAGGCCAGTAAGAGACAGAGTGGGGATTGGAACCCTCTGTACCTCCCTCCGAAACCCAAGCCGAGCACGTGCTAGACGTGGCAGGGTCCTGGCTTTGCTCTTTTACAAACATATCAAACCAGGGGAAACCCACCGGGAGAGCAGTCTGCAAAGTCTTGGTGATGGTTCCTTCTGGGCAGCAGAATTGTGGTGAATCGTTGTTTTCTTCTTTATGCCTCTTGGCGTGCCCCAGTGTCCACTGGCCGGACCGGTGAGCACGGAAACCGTGACGGCGTCACAGCGCGGTCCCAGCCCTGGTCGCTGAGCCTGGCTGAGAGCCGAAGGCCCACCGGCCCTGGAGAACCTCCTGGTTCCCTGATGCACATCTGACATCTTCCCCTCCTGGCAGGTACCTCTACGACCGCATGGGCTACTGGAGTGACTGGTCTGTGCCCGTCCTCGTGACCACTGCCGCTGCCTCCACCTACATCGCGGGCCTCCTGGTACGTGGGGCTGCCCCAGAGGGCAGGCGGGCCTGCTCCCAGGGGGAGGGCAAGCCACCCTGGGCAAAAGGGGGAAGCTGGCTTTTGCCAGGGCCTCTCAGCCTCCTGCACTGCTGGGCTTGGTCGCCCTTAAGGTGGGAGGTCCTCTTGCTTTTGCCCCATCTGGGAACGTTTTCCTCCTGACCCAGCGCGAGCCATCTTGCTGGTAGGGCCCACTGCAGACTGACTCTTCCAGAAGCTTCTGGAAGCTTCTGCTTTGGTTCCTGCTCCCAATTCTCTGTTGCCTCAGACTTGGGTCAATCCCCCTGCTGGACTGGAGGCTCTCGGGGGACTAGGCTCACGTCTGCTTCAGAATCCTGGGGCGTCGAACTCCCAAAACATTCACTGGGCAGCCCAAGTGCAGCAGGGCCCAGTGAGCTCTTGAGGGAGAAATTGTAGAGGAGGAGGAGCCTAGAGGCCTAGAATAATCTGGGAGGTGGCCAGGCTTGGGCTGGGCTGGGCATTCCCATGGCCTATGGGGAGGTTTGTCGACGGCTCCGAGCCAGGCCCAGAGTAGCAGCGGGTGGCAGGGTGTCGGGGAACTAGCAGAAACCTTCGGGTCACACAGGGCCCTGACTGTCCCCCTGTGGGCCCCCTCTTCAGGTCCTGGCACTATGTCACATCGCCGTGGGCCAGCAGATGAACCTGCACTGGCTGCACAAGGTAAGGGCTACCTCCGCGGGGGCTGGGGGAAGGGAGTCGAGGCTGTAGGCGGCAGCGGCAGAGGACGAGCTTGGACACGCCATCCTCGCTTCCTTGGAAGGAGGCCATCCTTCCTCTGGATCCCCATGAGAGTTCAGTAGCTACCAGAGTACTCACTCCACACCTGTTCTCATAGGCTGGCCTCTGCTAACTCATTCAACCCTCACAGTAGCCCTATGATGTAGGTACTGTTATCATCCCATCCTGCAGTTGGGAAAACTGAGGTACAGCGAGGTTACAAAACTTGCCCGGGGTCACCCACTTACTAAGATCCTAGCTCTGTAGCTGCTCACTGGCCAGCACGGGTCACAACCCCGGCCCCCTCTCCTCCTCATTCTTCAGTGAGCCCCCACTGTAAAACTCGGCCCAGGGATGGGACTCCCAACCCAGAGCCCTTCCCACCACTCCCCTTGCTCCCGGGGTGATCCCACCTCCCCGACTAGCACTAAGGCCCTGCAGGACTTGGGCCCCGCTAACAGCCCCTGTGTGGGACGGTCACCTCAGCTTCTGCTGCATGAGACAGCCCAGGCCCTCCCAGCACGGCGGCCTCTTCTCTGCCCTACCTCTTCACCCTTGCCCTCCCTTTCTCTCTCCTTTGGACTCCTTCCTTGGTTTGCCTCCCCTACCTACAGCCTGCTCAAGATCCTCCAGCCCTGGCAGGCTCCCCTGCCACAGTCCTGAGAGTCTGTGCTGCCCACTTCCACGGGCTCCCCCGCCCCAGCCCTCCCCAGTCTGGGAGCTCCCTGCCGGCCAGGTTGGCTTTGCCCATCTCCATGTCCCCCGTGTCCCCTCAGGACTGGGCCCATACACACATCCCGAGCCTCAGCACTCAGGCCGTTGATTGCACGCGTGGTGCTAAATGTATGTGACCGATGCCTGCCCTTCCCGGGGCCTCAGTGGGCATGGGGTGTGGTAGAAAGCCGATCGAGAGAGCCCCTCCTTCCCCGGAGCACGTGGGCCTTGGAGGGAGGCTGGACATTTCTTTCTTCCCAGAGCCTGGCTCAGAGTGAGCATGCTGTTTAGGAAGGGGCAGAAATGTCCAGAAGTAACCATGAGCCCGTGAGAGGGGTGCAGAGTGACAAGGGGAGGGCTCACTTCCTGCTAGAAGGGGGACACGGAGCAGGAACCAGAAGAAGGACGGGGCGGGGGCATGGGGGCAAGAAGCTGGGCTGTGCGGAGTGGCAGGTGCCAGTGGGCATCCAGGGGGCCTCCGAGGTCAGACGCTGGGGAGTCAGACCCTGGTGACTGAAGTCTGAGAGGAGTGAAGACCAGCCGGCCGTCCTCCCCCTTCCTCCTGCCTGTCACTCTATCCTGAGGCCTCCTCTGGGCTTCTGAAGTCCCCTCATGAGGCACTTTCTTCAGCCGGCTGAGCAGCTGACAGTTGAAAGAACTGCCCCAGCCAGCACGCCAGGTGGGGCCGGCACCCACTGGGGTCCCCTCCTCTGGCTCACGCCTGCTTCTCAGCAGGCCGGGTCACACCTGCTTGATCCTGGTGGAGAGGCCTCCGGAGGCCCGGAGCCAGCCCGGATAGCAGATCAGCACAGGGAGTCGTCCCCTGGGGCTGGAAGGATCAGATCCCTTCGTGGGCACCAGGGCCAGCTCCTGGGGTGCCAGTCCTGACTTCCTCCCCCCTCGGTCCCCTCCCGTGAGATCTCGGGGTGAGCAAGGTCTTTCTAGGCAGACTTGATCCATAGCTGGACCCACTGCACCAGGAGGGAGGGAGTTCCTAGGGGCTGGGAGGATTCAAGCAGGGCCCGGAAATTCTACCGTTCCGCTTCGAAGATTCTGTCACTTGATTCTAAGATTCTAAAGAATCCTATTTTTTGTTTTAACCAATGTTTGACCATCTAATACATTGACACGGTTCAAAATTTTAAAAGTACGAGGAAGTAGGGAAGGCAAATCTCCCTATCTTCCCAGAGATATTTTAAGTATGTGCAAATATGCATGTACATTTCCTGTTTTCCTTCTTCTTTCCCCAAAAGTAGCCTGCTCCCTCTCTTCTGCACCTTGGCAAAACCAGAGCTCCTTGCCCTTCGTGTGTTGAGAGCCTCCCCATTGGCATCCACCCCTCACCCCTGCCCCACCGGCTCATCCCTGGTTCCTGCGGCTGATGGGGCTGCCCGACACCCCGCGCTCTCGTTTCCTCACCAGCGCAGTGCGGCAGTGAGCTGGGCGGGGAAGTGTGCGCTAAAGAGTTCTCGCCACGTAGCCGTGTTGCCCAGGGCCACCGATCCACGACCCGCAGTCTGGGCTTAGAAAACACCCTCACCATAAAGCGTTCACCGATTTCTTGACTTTGGCCAATCCATCGGGTGAAGATGCCACTAGTTTAAATGTGGGTTTCCCTTATGATGAGTTAGATTCAGCATAATCCACATGCTGGAGTCACTTACGTTTCCTTTTCTGTAAACTGGCTTTTCCTCTCTTTTGTCCTTTTTGCGATGGGGTTTGCTTTTCGCTTATTGATTTGGAGGAGCGCTTTATAGATTCAGAGAATTAGCCCCTTGGCCGATAAACTGCAAATAATTCTTCCTAATTCGTCTTTCGACTAGGCTTGTGTTTTTTGCCGTAGGAACTTTTTTATTCTTCAGGGTGTGAATGTGCCATCTCTTTGAAGTCTCCTGGGTTTTGTGTCAGAAAAGTCTTTCCCAGAAAAAAATGTCTCTGCTGGTATCACTTGGTAACTGTAGGTTTCTACTTTTTTTTTTACCCCCCCCAACATTTACCTGTTTTATCTTTCTGGAATTTATTTGGGGGTATAATGTGATCTTTGTTCTTTTTTAGATGGCTTCCCAGGTCCCGACTCTCTGTTCAGTAATCCATTCCTTCCCTCTAACTTGAGATGACACTTTTATATTAGACTAATTTTTTTTTAATGTATTTAGATCTGGGGGCACCTGGGTGGCTCAGTCAGGTAAGCATGTGACTCTTGATCTCAGCTCAGGTCTTGATCTCAGGGTTGTGAGTTCAGGCCCCGCAATGGGCTCCATCCACGCTGGGCAGGGAGCCTACTTAAAGAAAAAAAAAAAAGATCTGTTTCCATTTATCTCTCCAGTCTCACGCCAATATCGTACTGCTTTACCTACGACAGTTTGATGTTTTAATCATTATCTTTGAGAGTCTCTGGTTCCCTGGGGTCATGAGTAGGTGTGGGCTGCAGAACAGAGGGGCCCAGGATGGTGCAGAGAGGGAGTCATTTGGGGCAGGCAGGGTACTGTGAGCAGATCTAGGAGTCCACCTGGGGACCTTCCCCCTTCCTCCCCTGTCCTCCCAAAGCTTCTGTTTCCCAGAAACAGGAGCCAAGTCCAGGGGCCCAGAAGGTGAGAAGGTTGAAGTGTGCTCGGGGCTTTCCAGTAAACAGGAGGTCCCTTCCCTGAGATGCCCCCCTTCCCGCCCCACCCACCACTCCAGAATCGGCTCCCACCTCCCCAGGCCCTTCCCCATCCTGGCCCCGGTCAGACCCCACCGCCCCCATCTGTGGCCTTGCCTGACTCGTCTGCTGCAGTGGCAGCAGCCCCCAGCCCAGGGCCTGCCTGGAGGAGGTGTCTCAAACTCTGCCACTGACATTTAGTAAGCGTTTACTCTCAGGGTGCCGACCACCGTGCTTATTAGCACGCCACCTGCTTTCTCTCCCTTGTCCCCACACCCCTTTCAGGTGGGCACTCTCTCTCCCCGTTGCACAGCTCAGGAGACGTGCTTCCGGAGGCTAGCCTCTCCCCGTAGGGCCGTAGCACCGGGGTCTGACTGAAGGAGGGGACGTGCGGGGCCCCCGAACCCTGGCCAACCATCTGCATGGGGACCGCAGGGCCCAGCGTCCAGCCGCCCCCGGGAGGCCGCCATGCAGCCCCTCTGCAAGGCCGGCTTCCAGCCCCGCACTGCACGGACAGGCTGCCTGTGTCCTCTGTCCCTCCCACTGTCCTCTCAAACCACAGTCCCCTGCACAGAACTCCAAAGACCGCTTTCACAGGAGCCAAGTGCGCCATCTCTGGGCCTTCTGGGTGGGCTTTATCCTTTCCAGACAGATTTGAGGAACAATGGTCACGTTGGGCACCGGTGCTGTTATTGTGGCTTCGGGAGACAACATGGGGTGGGGGGAGGGTACCCCACAGACATCGAGCACCGTGGTGATGCTGCTGAGCATAATGGTTGCCACGACAGCCACGGCAAGACTCGGAGAGAATAACAATTTTAACTGCGTTAGGATTATGGGAAATCAGTGTCATCGCAGGTCTCTCCGCTAGCAGTTCAATGTGGTGAGAATGTCAGAAACAATCCTTCAGAGACCTTGGCTGTGCCCAGGGCCTGCCTGGAGGGGGCAGTGGGGGGGGGGGCGCGCGCGCAGGGAGCCCACGTGTGGAGGGGGATTTCTCAGGGATGGCAAGCACACTCCTTGGCCTCCCTCCACTGCAGCGGGACACCCCAGAAAGAGCACGACCTCCGAGACAGGCAGGATGGGGTTCGCTTCTGGATCTGCCCCCTCAAAGCTGCGCGGCGAGCAAGCCCTCATGCTGAGCGGTTTCCCTGCATGTAAAATCAAGGTGATCGTGACCTCACCTGGGACATTAGAAGAATAAACATGAGGAAAGCAGGACGTCCCTCCCCTGGCCCCGGGCACGCAGGCCCTCTGTCTGCCTGCGTCTCTCCTCTTCTCGTGTTTCAGCCCATAAAGGCCCCCACCCATCTCAGCCTTATTACTGCTTCTTATGGGAACATTCATTTCCGGGCTGATGGGCTGGAATGACAAACCTCCAAAGGAAAACTTAATCCCAGGCAAGGATGAATCCTCCCTGCCTGGCAGGGAACGAAGATGGATCAACCGCTGTCTCTGGCCTCCCGGTGCCAGCTCGTTTAGTTGGTGGCGGGCCCTCAGAAGACTTCTGCCTCGAGGAAGGCCCTGCAGGAAGAGAAAGGGGGTTTCAGTGAGGAGACAGCTTGCAGCAGCTGCAGGGCAGGGGGTGGTGGCCTTGACTGGCCCATTACGGAGAGGGGGGTGGGGGACCTGGGGGAGAGGTGTGACCTGAGCCTAGAGGTGCCAGGCTTGGCAGGGAGGGGAAGGTGGCTGGAGTCGGGGGGTGGGGGGGCTGGGGACTGAGTAGTCAGAAACCAGGCTTCACTTAGTTTGGGGGAGCGTCTTGCATTGCATGAGATGTTTCAGATCCATCTGTCCCCAAAGCTGTCTGTCCTGTGGAGGTCCTGTCTCGTCTTCCCTCGGAGTCACGCTCCTTGCTTTCTCCAGGAGGCAGCTCCGGGGGCAGCCCGCCCCCCGGCCCCCCGCCCCCCGCATACAGTAGAAGCTGGAAGCAAGCCTTGGCGGTGGGGCCCGTGGGGCAGAACCCCGCCTCACTTCTGCTTGCCGCAACCTCGGCGCTATCAGTCTTGCAGGGGACCCGGCTCCTCAGCCTCCTGCCCCCGAGGCCTGGACAAGTCACCCTTCACCCCAAGGGCTGCTGGCAGGGCTAGGAGACGCCTTAGACGTGACCGGCTGGGCCCAGGAGAGGTCCCCACTGGCCGAGTGTCTTCCTTCCTCACACCCTCAGGGGGGCTGAACCCTGGGCCGAGCCTCCACCTCCCCCCAGCTTCCTCCCACCTTCTCTCCCCTCCGGCCTCCCTTCTGTTTTCTTGAGGCCTGCCTGCCTCCTCCCGCCCCTGTCCCTCGCTGTCACTTCCGGCTGGCTGTCTCTGACTCTCTTTTAGTCGTGCCTCCTTTCCACTTCCCCACCTCCCTGCTTTGCGGGTCTCACATTCTCCATTCCTCCCCGTGTCCATCTCTCGGCCTCCCCCTGCTGCCTCTGCCCCGCTCTGTGACACACTGGGGACGCTCGGGCTGTCCAGGCACACCTGCTCTGACCCTCTGTCTGGTGATTCTTCCGCTTCCAGATAGGGCTGGTGGTCATCCTCGTGTCCACGGTGGTGGCCATGTCAGCCGTGGCCCAGCTGTGGGAGGACGAGTGGGAGGTGCTGCTGATCTCCCTGCAGGTGAGTGGGGGGGGGCGGGGGGGTCGCTGGGCAGCTGCTTCCTCGGGACCTTCCAAACAAGGCAGTGCCTTTTTATCGCTCACATCTCTCCAAAGGCCCAGAGGGGGCAGGGAGCGGTCTAGGTCACATAGTAAGTCAGAGCAGGGTGGGGGCTATACCTTGGGGTTTCTGCACCCTGAGTTTCCTTCCACTGAAAAATGGAGACAGAGTTGCCTGCCCCATGGATAGAGACAGGCTGTTGGGATGTCAGTGACTAGAGGGTATGGGCGTGGCTGGGAGCCAATGGTCTCTCTTGCCCCTTCCCACACACAAGGGCACAGCGCCATTCCTGCACGTGGGGGCCCTGGCCGCCATCACTGCACTCTCCTGGATCGTGGCGGGACAGTTCGCCCGGGCAGAACGATCCTGTAAGTATGACAGCCTTCCCAGTACCCAAACCGGCTTATCCTGCCCTCACTTGGACGTCACCTAGGTGGCCTGGGGATAAGGTGTTGCTCTCAGCGTGAGGGTTCTGATTCAGAGTGGCCCACAGGTTCCACCGAGGGCTGCAGCATGTTTCCTCCTCTGCTTGCCTGTCTATGTGGGAGTGAAAAGTCAAGCTCACCTTCCCAGCAAGAATGGGAGCTGCCCGTGGTGCAGGGTCCCCGCAGAGCATCTGGGTCCTGACAGGGGGAGGGAAGAGAGGTCCAGCATCCCCCCCCCACCTCCAAGCTGCCCAGGGTTCATGGGTGGGCCTCATGGGAGCCACATAGCTCACCAGGCAGCCTCACTCACGGCCCGTGTCTGCAGCCTCCCAGATGGCCATTCTCTGTACCTTCTTCACCGTGGTGTTTGCCTTCTACCTGGTGCCTCTCACCATCTCCTCTCCCTGCATCATGGAGAAGAAGGATCTGGGCCCCAAGCCAGCCCTCATCGGCCACCGCGGCGCCCCCATGGTGAGTGCCACCTGAGCGTCCTAACAGAGCAGGGTGGGCTGGAGCTGCCATTCTGGGAGAGACAGGCCAAGACCTATCTCCTTGTAGAGAGGACCTTGTAGGGAAAGGGATAGAATAAGTGTAGTGTAGTAATAGCAATAATCTTTAGCCCTTTCGGAGGGCATCTGGGAAGAACTGGTGGAAAAGCTGGGGAGCTTAGAGGGGACTGAATCCTAAGCGTCCTGAAGGCATCTTGCTTAAAAGATTTAACTTGTATCCTGAGGGCCCTGGGAAGATGCAGGAGGGCTTCAGGCTGGGGCCAGACCCAGCCAGGTTGTGGGTTGGGAAGGCCCAGGAGAGAGAGGTGCCAGGTGTGGGGAGAACAGCAGGGCCCTGGGTTCCAAGAGTCAGCAGGAGCACCTTTCAGGCAGTGGGGGGTGGACGGGATGGGTACGACTCAGAGCCCACTGCTAAAGGGAAGGTAGCTGAATGGGGTTGAATTGGAGAGAGGAAGAAGTCAAAGTCAGAGCCCTGTGACCCCACAGTAGACCTTCCATTTGAGAGGATGGCTTTTTTTTTTTTTTTATTCTTACGTTAACCACCATACATTACATCATTAGTTTTTGATGCAGTGTTCCATGATTCATTGTTTGTGCATAACACCCAGTGCTCCACGCAGAATGTGCCCTCTTTAATACCCATCACCAGGCCAACCCATCCCCCCACCCCCCTCCCCTCTAGAACCCTCAGTTTGTTTTTCAGAGTCCATCGTCTCTAATGGTTCGTCTCCCCCTCCGACTTACTCCCCTTCATTCTTCCCCTGAGAGGATGGCTTTAGAGTCATGCTTCCTCAGCCTTTTGGCAGCTGTGGGAGCCTGGATCGATCCCTATCTGCTCTGTGCCCGTTTCCTCATCTTGTGCTCTGGGCTAACGAGAGTGTCTGCGCCAGTGGGCCATGCAAAGCAGGACTTAGCATGTGTGAAGTGCCCAGCTATGAGCCTCGTGCACAGAAAATAAGAGGCAGACATTCCTGCTTTCTGGGGCAGGCCTTCTCCCTTCTCTGGACCAGGGATTCCTTTCCAAGAACACCCTGACTTGTGGTTCTGAACAGGGGCAGTACCACTCTCCACCCCCAGGGGGCGCTTGAGGACCTCGTGAGAGCTTTTTCTTGTTTTTTGCAGTGATTGAGAGTTCCATGATGTCATTGAATTTCAGGGTAGTCAAGGTGGCCTCACAAAGTAACTTGTAAAAGGAGGTGTTGAGTCTGATGGGGCTGTGAATCACCCTTAGGTTCTTCCCCACTACCTGCGGTGGGTGTTACTGTGCCCATTTTTTAGATAAGATCCAGACACCTGTGCCCAGCTGGACCCTGGTGCTCTCCCAACATACCCTTTGCTGGTCCCAGCACCTCCTGGAAGAAACCAGCTGGAAAGGCCATGGCTTTGGAGTCAGAGGGATCTGGATTTGGGGTCCAGTTTTGCTCCATGTTGCCTGTGTGTCTTGGGGGTGTCACCAGTCCCCTCTGAGCCTTATGCTGCAGACTATCATGAGCATAACTTAGAAGCACAGCCCGTGCAGGTGGACGGGGACCAAGAATACAGCCCCTCTTCTGTTCAGGACCTAGATTACCCACCCAGCCTGCTCTGGAGGCCAGGGGACAAGCTCCTGCACTGAAGGGGTGGTGCTCAGCCAAGGGGAAGGAGCCAAGTGGCCCCAGCATAGATCATTTTTTTAGTAGGAAAAATTTCTATTATTCATAGAAGTTGCAAGAATGGTATAAGGAATCCTAGACCGAAGAATAGTATAATGACTCCAAGACCACCTTCAACATCTATCAGTATTCTTGCCATTGTTTCATCTGTCTCCCTTTTTCTTTTCTGCTGCAATATTTTAAAGATTTTTTAAAAGATTTATTTTGGAGAGAGAGCACAGTAGGAGGGACAGAGGGAGGGGGAGACAGGATCCCAAGCAGACACCGCACTGAGTGTGGAGCCCGATGCAGGGCTCAATCCCACAACCCCAAGATCACAACCCGAACTGAAACCAGATGGTTAAGCATCTGCCTTCGGCTCAGGTCATGATCCCAGGGTCCTGGGATCGAGTCCCGCATCAGGCTCCCTGCTCCTTGGGAGCCTGCTTCTCCCTCTGCCTCTCTCTCTCTCTCTCTCTGTCTTTCATGAATAAATAAATAAATCTTTAAAAAAAAAAAAAAAAAAAGAACTGCATGCCCAGGACACCTCAGTGGCTCAGTCGGTTGAACATCGGACTCTTGGCTTTGGCTCAGGTCATGATCTTATGGGTCATGGGATCAAGCCCCGGGGTTGGGCTACACTCTGCCCTCGGCATGGAGTCTGCTTGGGATTCTCTCCCTCTTCCTCTCCTTCTGTTCCTCCCCTCCACACTCTCGCTCTTTCTCAAAAATAAATAAATAAAATCTTAAAAAAAAAAAAAAAAAGAACTGCATGCTTCACAGACGGAGCCAGCCAGGCACCCCTCTGCTGTAATATTTTAAAGCAAATTCCAGACATCTGGACATCGTATCGGGATATCAGGATATATCTCTAATCCTTAAGGACGTTGTTTTAATATAATGACAACTACAATGATGCTGTTACACCCAACCAAATTAATAATTCTTTAATATTATCTAATACTGAATCCATGTTTAGTTTTCCTTTATTGTTTCAAAAATACCTTTTTACAGTTGAGTTGTTAAAAATCAGGATCCAAACAGGGTCCACATGGTGCATCTGGCTGACATGTCTTCCAGGTTTCTTTTAGTATATAGCAATCCCCCTCCCTGTTTTCCATATGCTGTTTGTCAAAAAAACGGAGTCATTTGTCCTGTAGAATTTCCCACGTTGTGCCTGTGGCTGGTTGTGTCCCCGAGGTGGCTGCTGAGTGGCTGGCACAAATGCCTGACACAGCCCCGTGGGTCACTGCGCCGGCACGTGTGTTGGAGTCTACACCTGGGTGCATCACTGCCTCTGGATCCGTGTGTGTGTGTGTGTGTGCGCGCATCACTGCCTCTGGATCCACGTGTGTGTGTGTGTGTGTGTGTGTGTGTGCTTTAACATTTGGTCAGACCAACTCCAGCGTTGGAACTTTGAACCACAGTGGCCTGCCCAGCCGAATTTGTGACAACCGCCCCCCGCCACATCCACACTCAGAATCCCACTTGGGCTTAGGCCTGAGGCAGGTAAGGATTAAGAATTCGCCCTGAGGGGCGCCTGGGTGGCTCAGTCTGCCTTCGGCTCAGGTCATGGTCCCAGGGTCCTGGGATCGAGCCCCACATCGGGCTCCCTGCTCCACGGGAAGCCTGCTTCTCCCTCTCCCACTCCCCCTGCTTGTGTTCCCTCTCTCGCTGTGTCTCTCTCTGTCAAATAAATAAATAGAATCTTTAAAAAAAAAAAAAAAAAGAATTTGCCCTGAAATCCTGCATGCTTCTTGGAGCCCTCTTGGGGTCCCCAGGCTGGCCAGGGCAGGCTAGGTTTCCACGGCTCTTTTCTCCAGGAGGCCAGCACCTACCCCAGGGAGACCTGAGTTTACAAAGCCTCTGCCCTTCCCCATCACTTCCTCTGCTCCCCAGGGGTCTTTGTAGCCCCTGCTGGGCTCCTTTGTGTCTCCCCACAGTCTACCTTCTGCAGCCTCAGCCGACAAGGGAGCTTTGGCACCTCTGAGGTGGTCACTTGTGAGAGGCCTGGCTGCAGGACATTTAGAGGCGAGATGGGCAGGAACTCCACCGAGTCCATGCCCGTCTCTAATGCCTCTGTGGCCCTGTTCTGCCTCTGGGTGGGGCCTCACACAGCTCACCTGACTGGGAGAAGGGAGCCATGTCCCCCAAAGCTGCTCTGCCCCAGGGGAAGGGGAAGAAAGGAACTCGGGTATAGAGACTGCTGATGTCTCTCATCTCACCAATGAGCTTGATAACATTAGCCTGTTTTATAGCTAGGGACGCTGAGGTTCAGAGGTGAGGTGAGCGGGGAGTGGAATTGTTCCTTCTCGGCCCCAAAGCCCTTGCTGTGCTAGGCCACCTCCCAGAGGCAGGGAATGTGTTATGTGTGGGAGCGGCACGGCCAGAGGGAGAGAAGGTGGGCACAAGTGTGTCTTGGTGGGAATGAAATCAGCCACAGGAACCCCTTGCAGCCCATCCCTTCACTGCCAGAAACCTCCCTTCCTCTTAACCACCCCCCCCACCCCCCGCCCCTTGCACTGGGTCCTAGCCCAATCCTTGGTCTGGTGGTGACGCCCAGTGGCTACAGAGGATATGACAGGGTCTTCAGACCGGACAGAACTAGGGAGGGATACCTGGAACTCCCAACTGGAAAGACCCCCAAATGGAAGGACCCAATGAATTCAGAGAACACTGAATATACATCCCCAAGGGGAAAATGGGGAAACTGAGGTCCACAGGAGAAAGAGATGCACCGATGGTCACAAAGCTAGTTTATGACAGGGCCAGGGCTAGAACCAGGATCTTCTGATGTATATGCTATAGGACTAATAGTAGTCACTTCTTAAGCACTTACTGCATATCGGACATGTTGGGGGCTTATAATCCATGTAACGGTCTAGGGGATCGTCTTGTCGTGTCTGTATAGATGAGAAAACTGGGCACCCTGTGGAAACTCTGCCATCCTGAGTACCTTCTCCTCTCCCTCTGGGATCGCCACCCAGACCCAGGGTGTAACCAGGAGGAAACATGGCTGCAGCCCCCGCCCCAGACTGCCACAAGGCAGAGGACTGTATAACAGCCCTCACACCCCCACATTTATATACATCAACACTAACCACCCCTGCCTCCTTTCCTGCAAAGAAAACCTGTGAGGCAGGCAGGATTTAACAGATGAGGAAACCGAGCCTTGGAGAAGCTGCGTGGTGCCCAGGGTCCCACAGCTACTGCCTGGACGAGCAGGAACTAGAACCAGGCCTACTCCAGCCTCCCAACACGGAAGGGTCTACACTAGCTGGGGAGGTGTACATCAGCTAAATCTTGGCTCTCCCTTCCTGCCTAGCTGGCCCCAGAGCACACGCTGATGTCCTTCCAGAAGGCCCTGGAACAGAAGCTGTATGGGTTACAGGCTGATGTCACCATCAGGTAGGTGTGGGGGGTTGGGAGGACCACAGCACCCCTCATCCCTGCCACATACACATCTGGGACTTTGCTGGAGGAACCTCAGGTCCCAGAGCCTCAGAGATGGGAGGGCCAAGGCTTGGATCCACTGCAGGGCCCACACCCTGTTTGTACCAAATGCCAGAATATAAAATAGGGAAATAAATAGATGCTCTTGCTTCAAGCAGGGGTTGGGGAGTGGGACCTGGAGTCCTGCCACAGATCCAGTTGAAGGAAAGACTAGATCTATATGGCTCAGCAAGACGGAGCTCAAACACGGATAAGCGAAATAAGAACAGTGTAGAGCGACAGTCACTGTGATGTCATTTATATTGTAGTTCGAAGACCACATAAAACGATTTCTATGTTCTCAATATGTAGATTTTAAAAGTACTTGGTAGTATAAAGGTTGAGAAGAATTCATACCAGTCTCACAACAGATGACCTCTGAGAGGGGGAAAGAGGCGGGGCTACCACGTACAGTTTACACAGGCGGTGAAGTGAGTGAATAAGGGCACCACACACGTGAGGTTCTGAGTGTAGATACCACCGTTAGATAAGCCATCGTTCCCAGTGTAGGTATCACAGAATTGTGTGTTTATCACTTTCTAGCAGATGGTGGTAAAATGCCTTGAGGAAGGGGGCCACATGTGCCTCTTACTGTTTCACACTAAGATACCATAGGGGCTGTTCACAGCTCCAGTGGGGTAGACCAGGATGGTGGTAAGGGGGAATGTGTCAAAGGCGCCTGCATTTGTCCTGTCCTATTATGGCGTCACATGGACTGGGTTCTAAGTCAGGTTCTACCACTTCCTGGGCTACTGCGTTTGAGCTAGATACTTCCCTCTCCCAGCCTCAGTTTCCCCATCATCAAATGAGGTCGCACCTTATCTGCTAATGGTTGCTAACAGGCCCAGCCCTCCCTCTTCAGCAGTCCCTACCCACCCCCCCCAACCCTCACAGAGAGCCAGAGGGACTCGCCCCCTGTCCTCCCTGTGCACACGGGGAGCCTGAGGCCCAGAGAGGAGCAAAGCCTGCCTAGGTCCCACGGGGGCTGGTGCAGGTGGGTGGGAAGGAGTGTACGGGTGTTGGTGGAGGGGATCACGGGTGGGCAGGTGAGGGACCTGGGTGGACAGTGACTCAGGGGATTCCACCTTCCCGCAGCCTGGATGGCGTGCCCTTCCTCATGCATGACAACACCCTGCGGCGAACCACTAACGTGGCGGAGGAATTCCCGGAGCTCGCCCGCAGGCCCGCCTCCATGCTGAACTGGACCATCCTGCAGAGGCTCAACGCCGGCCAATGGTTCCTGAAGGTCTGGCTCTACCTGTCCCAGTCCTAGGCATGGAAAACACAGGAGTGAGAGGGCCAGGAGCAGCCAGCAGCTCAGAGGACCCCTAGTCCCCTAGCATCAGTGACTCACAGCCAGGCTGGTTAGTGGCCTGCTTGAGCTCCTGCCACTGGAGCCCGGATGTCATGGTCGTTAGTGCTTGTTCTCGTTCTGTCTTCCCCAACAGAAAAAGTTGACACTGATGATAATAGTTAACAGGTAAAAACTGGGAACTCCGTCAAACTCCAGAGGGAGATTGGTTCCTGGTCTGAAATGCTACTAGAGGAGAAATGTGCTGGAGTCTGGGAGAAGTTCCAAGCAAATGACTTTCAGGAAACAGGGGTGGCGTGGAGAAGTTAGGGTTGGGATCTCCTAGACTCCCCACAGGGCCCCTGACGTCAGTTTGCCTGACCCCGCACACCAGCAGACGCTCCATGCTCGGTGGCTGGTGAGGCAGCCCTGTGTATCCCTCTCTCTGCCAGACGGATCCCTTCTGGACGGCCAGCTCCCTGTCGCCCTCTGACCACAGGGAGGCGCAGAACCAGTCCATCTGCAGCTTGGCAGAGCTCCTGGAGTTGGCCAAGGGCAACGCCACACTGCTGCTCAACCTGCGTGACCCGCCTCGGGAGCACCCGTACCGTGGCAGCTTCCTCAACGTCACGCTGGAGGTCCTGCTGCGCTCCGGCTTCCCCCAGCACCAGGTGAGGCCCTGCCCGGCTGCGCCCCAGGCCTGGCTGGAGCAGGCCTCCAGCGTCGACGCACCATGCCACCCATCCGGGCCTCAGCTTCCACATGTGCAGGATGGGGGAGCGGGCCCCTTGCCTTCCTGACAGGGTCGTCCTGGGGACAGGAGGGAAACAAGAAAGGCCTTTAAAATGGACAGAGGGCAGGAGCTGGTTCTCTGGAACACTGGTATTTCCGCATCCCTGTGGTGTAATACTCAGAGTTCAGAGAAATTGGAAACCACTTTCTGGCAGCACACGGGACCGGTGGCAAGCTACAGAGTGACGTGGGTTATCAGTCTTGGGACAGGGGTCTAGAGGGGAGAGCAGTTTCACAGGCTTGGCTGGACCACGTTGTCCCCTGTAGATGATTATTACACGTGAGCCTCACTGTGGGCCATATCCCATCACTTTTAACCCTTCCGGGGGCTTTAGGAGGGGTAGATGCTGTAACCCCAGGTGACAGAAGAGAAATCTGAGGCTGCCCCCTCCTGCCTGCAGGTCATGTGGCTGCCCAACCAGCAGAGGCCCTTCGTGCGGAAGGTGGCTCCTGGCTTCCAGCAGACGTCGGGCTCCAAGGAGGCGGCCGCCAGCCTGCGGAGAGGCCACATCCAGAGGCTGAACCTGCGCTACACTCAGGTGTCCCGCCAGGAGCTCAGGTGCCCACCCCAGCTCATGCAGCGGGGGCCGGACATGCTGGGGCTCGTGGTTCAAAGAGTAGAGGTTGAGAGCATTGGCAGATCTGGGTTTTGTCTGAGCTTGGTCCTCTGTGGGTGGAGATTCCTTTCTCTGGAGACAGTGGTGAGGATAGTGCGTTTATAACGGGGGACATGCTTTAGAGGCGTCCCACGCTGGGCCCGGAGGGCCCCCTCGGAGGGCTGACAGCCTCTGTCCGCCTGCCCCACAGGGACTATGCATCCTGGAACCTGAGTGTGAACCTCTACACGGTCAACGCGCCGTGGCTGTTCTCCCTGCTGTGGTGCGCGGGGGTCCCCTCTGTCACCTCCGACAACTCCCACACCCTGTCCCAGGTGCCTTCCCCCCTCTGGATCATGGTGAGTTGGGGGATGGTCAGGGGGCACAGGGTCCCTGGGGGTGTGTAGAGAGAGCCTGTGGCACGGGGTGGGGGGCAGGCTCCACGCTCGGGGCTCTCTGGTGAGGTCTCAGGGGTGGGGAACAGCGCATGAGGAGGATTTTCATGGCCTCTGGGGTCTGCACTAAGGTGCTAGGGGGTGGGAAGAACCTGGGCCGAGCCCATGGGGAGAAAAACATCACTCAAGGGCCCTAGAGGAGTAAATTAGTACTTGGGGTTTGGGTTTGGGGGGGCGTTTATTATGTTTTGTTTTAAAGGAGGGGAAGGCATTAGAAAAAGTAACAATAGAACAAGGATAGGGGTCATTAAACGCCATTCTGAGAATACAGCAAATAAAACCAATTTTTAACCTGGCTGATCAAGCCCCTGCTGACAGGCCTGAGCTCCAGTCCCAGCTCTGCTACTGGGGGCTCGGGGCACCCTTGACTTCCCTGCTGTGCTCCTACTGCTACCTCCCTGAGGATATGACAGCCAGTCCAAGGGTCTTGTTATAGCTGAGACAGTGTCAGGGTCACGGAATCAGATCTAGGTTATGGATGGTGTGTCCATCCACCTGCCCGTTGTCCTTACAAACCTCCAAGGGCTCTGCTCAGAACAAGGTGAAGTGACTTACTGACTAGCAGCAGCAATGAGCACACTCAAATTTTCAGGCCACAGGAGCTGAGCAACAGCAAGGACTCCTGGCACAGCCCCACCCCCCTCCAGTTTACCTGAGATCGAGGGCCCTGGAGGCCTGGCCGCACTGGAGGCTTTGCCCTCCCTGGCCCCTGGAGGGGGAGCCCACGCTCCACACATACTCTTACACCCGCACAGATGCCGTGTGCCTCTTCACACACACTCCTGCATACTTGCTTGTCGTTCACACCTTCACATACAGCTGTCTGCCTTCCATTTACTCACCTTCTGCTTGGAGCCCCCTTAAGCACACAAACCCTCCAGGCTTATGAACACATGCCATCTCTGCTCTGACCACCGCATCTCTTTTCACACACACACACACACACACACACACACACACACACACACACCCTCAGAGCCCACTCCTACAAAATACCATCTCAAGGCCCCAAGCCCCAAACCCCCTCTAGGCCCTCCCTATTCCTTCCCTGATGGTGACATGGGGTCGTCCTGCCCACGGACCCTCAGTCTAGAGCCCCGGTATGGACTGGCCATGACTGAAAACTGGCCATGGGCCATCTGTCCACAGCCCCCAGACGAGTACTGTCTCATGTGGGTCACCGCGGACCTGATCTCCTTCATGCTCATCATTGGCATCTTCGTGCTCCAGAAGTGAGTAGGCTCTGACTCCCTTGCACACCCCACAAGCCCAGCCCCCACCCCAGCCAGTTGAACTTCCTCCTGAGCCCTGGGCCTGGAGAAGCCCTGATCAGGCAGCCTGTTCAGGGTAGGACTGCCCAGCGGGTCCCCTAGCCCATCCTCCTCAGCCAGAGCTGAGTGGCTTCTGGAATGAGCACCCAGCTGGGAGCCCAGAGCCAGGCTCTGCCATGACTTGCTGTGAGGACTCCGGCGGGTTTGGGCTCCTCTCCGGCTTGTCCTCACCTGCTCCCCAGGGCTGTCACCAACACCCAGCACTCGGGTGTGCCACGCTGGAGACCTCCTGCCTGTTTGGGTAGCGCCCGGCACAGCGGTGCAGTGGGGAAGTGGGGTTGGGTCTGGGGGAGGGTTTAGGGCCAGGCAGGGGCCCCGATCCAGCCAGCACCACCAACTGGCCGTTTTATTCCTGACTGACGTTCTCTCTCTGTCACTCACCGCTCTGATCCGGCGCATGCCCCCCCTCTCTCCCCACCCCCTCCGCTGCACTCTGGTATCTCACAGCTGTCACTTGATCAGGTAATTCTGGTGTGGTCTTCCTCTCCGGTTCCCCTTTCTCCCTCCTCCTTGCCACCGCCTTCTCCAGTTCCATCCGAAAACCTGCCGTGCGCCAAGCCTGTGCCTGGGTCAGGGTCCCTCGCGGGTCACCCTCCCAGGCACCTCCGCTCGCCTGACGCCTCCTGCTGTCCCCATCTCGCCTCGTGTGCGCCCCCCGCCCCCTGGTCCTCCTGCTGTTCCTCACAGGTTGCTGACCTGGCCCCTCTCAGCACCAAAGCGGCCCCCCCTGGGGAGGGCCTGGGCCTGGCCACCCCTCCCACGGCTGGCACTCGCAGGGGCCTTCACCCCTGCCCTGCGCCGACCGTACCAAGTTCTGTCTCTCCCTTCCCATCTCTCAGTGTCTCCTCTCGGGCTTTGCCTCTCGAATCGCTGCTTATCTTTCTGTGTGTCTCTCATCTCTCTCACTCTCTATTTCTGCCTCCCACTCAACTCCTCCCGCCTTATACACACAGCCTCCCTGCTTTCCCCTGCGGGAACCCCATAGTGGTTGAGCTTCCTGTCCTAGATGTACCTGGCTGCAGAGACCCTGGCCTGACACCTTCCTCCTGGGTTTACTGTGAATTTCCAACATGAGTCCTAGGTCCTGGGGATCCAAGCCCCCACCTTGGTCCAATGCCTTGGGCCCTCCTGGTTTAGACAGCTTTACAAACTGCTCCCTGGCTGAGGGACCGAGCCCAGCGAAGGGACATGTACCGGTCCTTCCTTCATCGTCTCCATCAGCAGACACCCCCCCTCCTCCATGCTGCACCTGTGCTGGGCCTGCAGCAAGGAGCCAGGCCTTCACCCTTGGAGCCCCAGGGTACTGGGGGGCAGCCGAGGTGGCCCAGGTGCTGGGATGGACATGCCAGGCCTGCTCTTTGTCCAGCCAGGGCCATGACATGATCTTCCTGGGGGTCAGGAGAGGACTGACAAGAGGGGACCCTGAGGGAGACCATTCCCTGCAGGCCGCCTCCCTCCACTCATACACTCAACAGATCCTCTGGGCACCTGCCACACAGCAGGTTTTGAGGTTGGTGCCAGGGACACTGTGACAAATAAGAGACCCAGTCGCTGCCCTCAAGGACATGTAGGGCAGCCAGCCCAGCCAGAGCACAGGCTGCCTTCCCCTCTGCTTCTTGCTTTCCCCTGTCTGCTCTTTTCATTCACCCACCTGCCTGTCCATCTGCCTGTCCATTTCTGCTGTGCTGACCCCATCTGGAAACAACTGATTTCTCATGAGTCTGGCCTCCCCCACCCACCCCAGCAGGGCTCAGTGCCTGGGGGGTTGGGTTCTTGTTTCCAAGCTGACCCCTGCGCTTCTCTCAGTGGGAGTGGGGGTGGGGGTCCAGTGAATCTTTCTGTCTAGTTCGCAGGAAAAGTCTTAAGTTCGGAGACCAGGGATTTGGGGACTGGTTGAGAGGAACCGCAATAAGCAAGAACTGCCCTGGGCTGGGCGCAGGACCCCGAGTCCCCGGCTCTGCCTGGCCCCTGCACACCCCGCACAGCCCCACCCAAGTCACTCGGACACCCTTGCCTCTGAACCTGTGAAGACAAGGCCCCCACAGCCTCTCCCTCTCTCCCTCCCCGCCCTTCACTCCCCCCTCCCCCGGGCTTTCCCCACTGGCTTCACTCACCTGGCCCCATGGGGGAGCTGGAGGATACAGCAGCTGGGACTCCCTGAGATTGGTGTGTACCCCACAGATGGGTGTCAAGAGTCATGCCTGCTAAGCTCTCCCCCAGGTTGTCCCATTCAGAGTCCGTGTGCAACTGTGGGCACCTGAAACACAACTCACCAACCCCAAACCAACCATCTTCCAGGGCAAGGGGACCTGATCTCAGGTTCTGGGGACAAGGCGGAGGCTGGAGAGCCCTGCTGAGAGTCAGTAGACTCTGATTCAAGCCCTAGCTCTGCCCTTGTCTGGACCTCCGTTTCCCCATCTGCAGTTAGACACGAGACCTGCTGGTCTCTCAGGCCAAATCCAGATAGGTTCTGGGATTGGGCAGGATCCCTGCTCCAAGGAAGGGTGGGAAAGGACCTGTGCCCATGGGCCATCTCTGCAGGTGGCGCCTGGGTGGCATACGGAGCTACAACCCCGAGCAGATCATGCTGAGTGCTGCGGTGCGCCGGACCAGCCGGGATGTCAGCATCATGAAGGAAAAGCTCATCTTCTCAGGTGAGAAGATGAGCTTTTGGGCTCAGTGGGCTCAGTTATCTCCAGCCCCCACATGCACTTGAGTATGCGTGCACACATTTGCACGCAACACATACAGGCAGGGACACAGCACGGACATACATCTACCCACCCAGCTTCACATACACAGAGAAAAGCATGCACCCCTCCATATGCGGTCATCAACTCCAGACCCTGTGGTTGTCAGCCCCATGGGTGGACAGGGGTGACATGTGGCGGGGGTGGGGGGGCTGCTTTCCCTTTGCCTGGTTTATTCACCATAAATACTGATTTTTCACGCCTGCTTGCTGCCAGCCCCTGTTGGCATTCCCAATCTGATGGAGGAGGCGGCTGTATACCCTAATAGGTGTTCTGAGCCAGAGTGGGGTGCAGAGGAGAGTGGTCAGAGCTCCCTGGGGGCAGTGAGGGTCTTGGGGCCCACTTTGCAAGGGGACCTAGCTGGAATGGGAGAGATGCGTAGGCGGGGCCTGGGTGATGGGTTTGAGGTGAGGGCTGACCAAGCAGAGGAAAGGAAGGGCATTCAGGCAGGAACAGTAGGTATTCAGAGGCAGTGAAGGGGCATGGCTTACTGGAGTACCAAGAACTATCCATCCTTCCATGTGGCGTGAGGGGTGGCCTCGTGCTCGCGAGGAGGGCACTAGGGGGGCACTTGGGCCTTGAGTGTGTGGTCAGGAACTCGGGCTTCACTTTGAAAGTAGAGTAGGGTCCTGGGCAGATCTGTCGTTGTTACAGTAGGGTTGTAACAAGCACCACAAACTGGGTGGCTTCAACGACAGAAATTTATTGTTTCAGTTCTGGAGGCTAGAAGTCCAAAATCAAGGTGTTGGCAGGGTTGGTTCATTCTGAGGGCCATGGGAGAAGGATCTGGTCCAGGCCTCTCTCCTTGACTTATGGATGGTCATCTTTGTGTGGACATGGCATTCTCCCAGTATGCATCTCTGTGTCCAAATTTCCCCCCTTTATAAGGACACCAGGCATACTGGACTGGGGCCCACCTTAATGACTTCATCTTAACCAATTAACATCTGCAGCAACCTTATTCTCAAAGTCACATTCTGGAAGTACTGGGGGTTAAGACTTCAACCTATGAATTTGGGGGAGAGCACAATTCCATCTATAGCAAGTGTGGATGGTGGACAAGATGGGGAAGCTGGAGGCAAAGAAACCAGTAGCTCAGGGGAGAGATTGGGTGTGGGAGCACAGAGGAGAGGAGAGATATGAGGGATATTTAGGAGCCAGATGGGCTGGGGTTCAAATCCCAGTCCTATCTCCAACTAGACAGGTGAACCAGAGCACATTAGCATCAGACTCCTCCTCTGTAAAAGGGACTGGCCCTCCCGCACAGGGTGCCTGAGGGGTTAGCACCACACCTGGCCCAGAGGTATGCTGGGTAACCACTGTCTGAATGACCGAGACTCAAGTGGGGGTGACTGATTCGGGGGCTGGTTTCCAGGATTGTGTGACCATCCACTCATTCATTCACTCCTTTATTTATTCATTCCTTCAACAGATGAACGCCAGGCACTGTTTTAGGTGCTTAGGATTTACAGATTCCTGCCAATGGGGCACTCACATTCCTCCTGCCTTGGCTCAAAAGGAGCCTTCCCTGAGCACCAAGGCTGGGTTGGAGTGCCTCCCCTGGTGGCCCACAGCCCTCTAGCCACACTGGGGAGCTCCTGGAAGGAGGGGCCAATCAAAGGCCCCTGGGGTGCCCAGGCTCCTACAGCCTGGCCCAGAGAAGTCAGAAGGGGCAGAGAGAATGAATGGAAAGAAAGAGGCCAGCCCCTAGGCCTGGCAGGTTCTGTGCCTCCAGGCCCCCACCTGTCCTTCAGTGCCAAAGGCCATTCACTGAGCACCTTCTGAGTGGAGACTCTGAGGAGCCAGCCAGTCCTCACCCCATCCTGCCCACGGCAGGTTGAAAAGTCCTTTCCAGAGACCCTCAGCCTCACCTCCCCTCAGGGTAGGCTCAGCTCCACTCAGCAGACCTTTTCTGAGCCTCTGTTATATGTCCAGTGCTGTGCCAGACAGTAGGACACAGATGCCCAGACCTCACCCCTGTGCTTGAAGTACTCCAGTTGGTGGGGGCCACAGACAGTGACAGTACAGGAGGTGATGGGGCAGGGGGAGGCAGGGGCTAGGGTGGCCATGAGGAGGCCCCATTCCAGCTTGGGGGACTCAGGGGAGGCTTTGAGGAGGCGGCAATAACAGATGAGAAAAATTGAGCTAGATTTTAAGAAAAGCAAGTGTTGACAGGGAGGACACTCCCAGGAGAAGGGCCAGTGTGTACAAAGGCCCTGAGTAAATGCATGGGCACCAAGATCAGGAGGGTACAGATGGTTTTCTGTGGCTGGAAGGTGGAATTCCAGGGGAGAGTGGACTGAGGTGTGGCCAGAGTGTTTGCAGAGTCCAAGGAGGGCCTTGAAAGCCAACCTCAATAGCAAACCTGAACCCAGTGATTTCATCAACCTCCAAGTACCTGACCAGGACTTCCCGTGGGTTACCCTTCCTGCTGCATTTGCCAGCCATCCTCATGGACCCCTCTTCTCCCCACTCACATTCTGCCTCCCTCTGGCCCCACAGAGATCAGCGATGGCATGGAGGTCTCCGATGAGCTCTCTGTATGCTCAGACAACAGTTATGACACGTACGCCAACAATGCTCCCACCCCTATGGATAACCGAAGGAGCGGCAGCCGTACCAAGACGCTCATAGACCGCAGTGGGCGTTAGCCGAAGACCTGTCTGTCCCAGCCTGTACCTACTGTGGAGACCAGGGAACCCAAGAGAGCTGGCAGAAGCATGTCTGGCCTGGGAGTGCGCTGGGAGCTGGCTCCATGGCCTCCTCGTTGGCTCCAGCCCTCTGTCAGTCAGCCATGGCCTCCCTTGGAGGGGGCTCCCCTCTCTCCTGAGGCCCACTTGGGTCAGGACTCCAGCCTCACAGATGCCCCTGCAGGCCTGGGGCTCCTTCTGGAAAGTTTGGAGCCTGGGGCCTGGTCCTCCCCTGGAGGCCTTCCCTTATATCCTGATCTGGAAGCTCTGATGAGTCACTGGGCTGTGCCATGCCCCCTGTGGCAGTTGAGAATGTGGATGTCCACCTGTCCGTCCTCCTGTCTATCCTCAGAGGCAACCGACTCCTGCATGTCTCCTGCCTTGAGGGCCTGGACTGGGCCTCTGTTCTTCATGTCAGTCTCAAAAGCACAAGGATTTTCAGCCCAGGAGGAAAGCCTGCTGCAGTGGTGGAGACACTCCTCCCCGACCGGCCTCCTACCACCACTGGCCCTGCCCCAGGAGAGGGACCGAGCCACGTCCCCAGGAGCAGCTGGAGACGGCCAGAAGAGTAGGCTTAAGGCTGCTTTTACCCCTTACCTAAGTGTCCAGCAGGCCTCTAGGGCAGAGTGGCTCAGAGGCCCAGGAGATCCACAGACTGACACAACCTCAGGTTTCCACATCTGTGGCCACAGGGCAGTGGCCACGTGGGAAAGAGTGTTCTAGGCATGGCCAAGGGTGGGCATATGGCCAAGGAAGCCTACAGCAGGGCGAACCTGAGGGCCTTGGTCAATATGATTAAAGCTGCCATCTTGACATGTGTCGTCTCTGAATGGTCTGTGGGAGGGTAGGCAGAGGGTTTGCTGGGTTTGGGTTTCAGTTTTGGGCTGATGATTTGAGGAGGAAGCATTCTCAGAAATGAATGGAAGAGCGCAGGGTGTTTGGGCCTCTACCCAGCATCACCAGGACACTGGGACTTCCTGAACAGCCCTGGGATTGGGGACCAGTATCCCTACATTGTGGTGAGGGGAGATGGTCCTGGAGTGGTAAAGTGACCATCCAAAGCCACACAGCTGAGAATGGGCAAAGCCAGGAGCCCGCCCAAGCTCTGGCCCCAGAGTGGATGCATGCCTTCCATAACCAGCCAGAATGGCAAAGCCGATGGGGAGGCCTCCTGGGTCTGATGTAGGGCTGGGTGGCAGAACCAGCAGGGCCCCTCACAGCTATATGGCGGCTTTCTGAGGTGTTTCCTAGGAGCCAAGGGATGTATCTCTTCTCCAAACGGGTCTTCGGGATAGAATTCTTGGGGTCTGAGCAATTCTGGCACCTTCTTAGAGGAAAAGAAAAGAAACCCCTCCCAAATGCTGGAATTCAGACTGCCTCCCCCATTAACCTCTAGGACTGCCCACTGGGAACTGAGGGGATTCACCCTCCTTTCATCCTACTGAACACCTGCCAAGTGCATCCCTTCCCGCGGCAGAGGTCAACTCCCACCTCTCCCTGGGCATGAAGTATAAGGGAAATCCTGAATGGCTGGATTAGGGATGGGGCACACTGCTCTACCCAAAATGCCTCAGTAACCTCTCCAGCCTCTGGCAGACCCACCCAGGAAAGTGGATTTGACCTTTCACTCCAGCCTTTCCCTGACCCATCAGTGCCCCTGGCCAGGACATCCCAGGCTCGTGGCCACACGTGGGCTATCTGAGACATCCTGGAGCCTTCAGGGGCACGTAGAGGGGGCTGGGAGTTCTGAGTGGGACAGCGAGTTAGCACCCCACTCTCACCAGGGCCCTACACTGTACCCACCTCCCTGGTGCGGAGGCAGTCTAGCTGCCTCCCCTCACCCCAAACAACGGAGGGAGGATGGAGGCCATCCCCTAGCTGGGTAGACGGCCAGTCTTGTCTCCACCCTCAGCTGAACCGGCAGCCTACGGTCAATACCGGCTCCCGCCCCTTGACCCGAAGAGTTACTGAGAACCCCACCTTCCTGATGCCATCCCCCACACTCTCCCTTGTCTACACAGGACAGACAGACTGCCCTGTTCACAGGAAAACCAGAGACAGGGCCCGTTCCCTTCCCACTTCTCTCCTTCCTTGGACCTTAGGGTTGTGGCCTCCACCAGGTGGAGCCTGCCCTCCACCTGCTCAGGGCCCTCCTTCCCAAGTACAGATGTAAAAGGGCCCAAATCTCTCCTGTCCTTTGACACACAGCAACGCACACTCCTTTTTTAGGGAGAAAGGAGATATACCTTTCCCTGGCGTGCGGTACACGAAACAGACTGCCCCCAGGCCTCGGGACACATACCTGGCCAGCATCACAGTGAGCCCATCACAGTTCCTTCCACAAACAGCCTGCCCAAGCTAGCCAGGCCACTGGCAAGGCCACGTTCCTGCAGCACCCGGGCCTCACGGACTCCACACAGCACATGGCTTTCACAGACAAACCTCCCCGAGTGTCACAGCAACCCAGTAAGATAAGGCAGGGCAGGAACTGCAAGCCTCCCTCCTGCCAAGATGAAGAGCTGAGCCAAGGGATGGGCAGTGATCTGCCTAGGGCTGCATGGCGAGTCACGGCAGTTCCAGGACCAGACCCCAAGTGCCCTGGGCCTATCTGGGCTCTTGTCAAAGCAACCTCCTCCCAATTGCTGTCCTCTTCTATGAAGGCAAATCTCACCAGCCCCTCAAACACCAGGCCCTGTGGCCCTTTGTGGAGGCAGCAAATGACCTGGGACCAGCCTACAGGGTGGCCTCCCCTGGCTCCGGGAGGCCAGGCCGGCCCAGAGCTGCCTGCTCTTATGTACCCCAGCCAGGTCTGCTCAGTACTACCACTGCCCACCTCACTGAGTCCCCTCCAACGTGGGTGCACTGCTGAAAACCACCTCAACTCATACAATGCCACGGCCATAGGACCACACATGGGCCCTAAGCCACAACCCCCTGTCCTGCAGACAGACCCACGTCACACAAAGGATCACATAGACAAAGAGGGACCCACCAGGCAGACAACCAGACACATGAAGTCCTACGATGACAATGTCTGCTGTCCAACAGGAACACAGATAGGCAGAGTCACACAGAGGTAGGAGGGAATCCAAGGTCCCGAAGCTATGCAGCCACAGTGTTAGTCCCACCTACAACTACACAGTCACACCCACCACATCCCTGTGTGCCCCCACACTCACATACAGGCACCCTGGCACACCTGGACCCTCACAACCACCCGACTACACCCCGACTCCTTAGGGCAGCTCCCCCCCCTGCACCTTCACATCCATACATTTATTCAAGGGCACAGCCAGTGCCAGATCACCCCCAATCCAGGTACAAGGATCCCCGAGATGCATGCAGGGTCAATGCCACGCTTACTCGCGCCTCCTGCCTTCCCTCCCTCCCAGGGCTGGCCTAAGAATGGAACAAAAGCCCAGCGTCCCCTCCTCCCCCTCTCCTCTCCCCTCCCCCCTGGCGTCCAGCCCCTTTGTCCTCCCGCAGCTGAGCCGGAGCCGAGTCCAGGCAGAGCGGCAAGGACACTGGAGCCCGACTGCCAGGGCTGTAGCAGCAGGACAGACAGGATTGGTCAGTACGAGAGCAGCACCTGCTGAGCCCCCGGGTGAGCCATGGCCAGGTAAGTGCCAGGTACATCCGGGGACTTAGCCCCTCAACCGGCAGGGCCGTGTGGTGTCTACAAGTCTGAGTGTGTGTGTGTGAGGGGGGGTGTGGGTGTGAACAAGAAACGGGGGCATGTCAACTTCTAGGGGCTGGATCCCTTAGTTCGCATCAGAACTCTTGGCTGGAGGTACCCAGATGCTTAGCTAGGACGAGAGAACGTCCAGTGGAGCCCTGCCTGGGAATCCCTACCATCCACGTTGCAACTGGGTCCTCTGGCCCCCAGACTGGGAATCCCCAGGGTGGAAACGGAGTCTGATGTCCCAGTGTGACCACAGTGCCTGGCACAGTAGACAGCAGTAGAACGAATGAAAAAGTATTGGTGCACTTCCCAGGAGGAGACTCCCTCTCCTTGTGCTACAGGGAGAGGTCCTTCCTTACTCTAAAGAGACCTGCCCTCCTGGATCTCAGCTCAGGGGGTGGCTGCTTTCTTAGCAAGCAGCCAGCAGAGAACGGAATGGGGGCAGCATGCTCCGATGACCCCCCTCACCTTCCTCTGCTGGTCCTGGGCTGCTCCTTAGGACATGCCCTCACCCTGGCAAGTGTGGCCGAGCAGCTAGGCATGCAGAGTCTGCAGCCAGGTGGGTTCAGGGCCCACCCCCTCTGCTTGGGCAGAGTTAGCTTCCTGGGACCCTGCCCACCAGGGAGCTCATTTCTGTAATCCTGACATGGGGATCCACCACCCAGGATGACCGGGGCGTGAGCAGTGAAAGCCAGATCTGACCTCCGGGGCAAAGCAGTCTCAGAGAAGGCAGAGCATGGAGCATGGAGGGAGAGGCAAGAGGTAGAGGGCAGAGTTGTGCTCCCCTACAGTAAGTTGCCACATAAAGAAGTGAGCTCCCTGTCCCTGGAGGTGTGCAAGCAGAGACTGTATGTTCATAATGACCAAATCACAACCAGCCCAGTACTGCCCCCGAGTCTGTAGAGTGCTTTCACAAACACCCCTCCTTTGGTCCTCAGAGCAACCTCTGAAGGGCCGGTTTCCTGTGTGCTTCTTTTAAGGAAAGACAAACTTAAAGAAGGGCAGGGGCCTCTAAAGAAATGCTCAGGGTTGTGAGGATCAGATGAAATTATGTACATAAAAGCAGCCAGCACACCTGGCGTGCTCCCTTCCTCTTGTGTTAGCGGAGTCTGTACTATGTACCTAGCACTTTTCATATTCCACTTCATAAGCACAACGTCACAACAATGCTGTGGGCAATATCACCCCATTTCAGAGGAGGAAGCTGAAGGGGAGTGACTTGCACAGCTCACGCAGTGAGTCAGTGACAGAGGCAGGTTTGGAGCCCGGATCAGTCCGTAGAGCCAGCTCTTTCCATCTCCCCCCAGGGCTTCCTTGAGAACACTGAGAGAACTTGCTAGAGAGAGAGCTAACTTCCCTCTCAGCCTGGGTTCTAGTCTCCTGCCCTCCTTCCCTCTGGGCCTTAGCATAGATTGTTCTCTAAATGGAGACATCCTCCCTGAACTCCCTTCCCTTCTCCTGGCTAATTCCCCCTATACTTCTCAGTCTGAAGATCCCTCAGGGGATACCTTCCCTGACTCCCCTCCAACAGGGTCTAGTGCCCCTTCTATCAGCTCCCACACTCCCCCATGGGACCCCCACCAAGCTGTGAGATCCAGGACAGCAGGGTCTATGCTTGTCTTGCCCACTGCTTGGCACAGAAAAGGCTCTAAATACATGCTAGCTTAATGCGTCCACTCAACCTTAAACAGATATTAACTGAGCACCTACTGTAGGAGAGGCAGATATTAAATAGAATAATCAGGGGGCACCTGGGTGGCTCAGTCGTTAAGCATCTGACTTCAGCTCAGGTCATGACCTTGGGGTCCTGGGATCGTGCCCAGTGTCGGGCTCCACACTCAGCGAGATGTCTGCTTGTCCTTCTTCCTCTCCCTCTGTCCCTCCCCCCACTCCTGCGCGTGCACACTCTCTCTCTAATAAATAAGGAAAATATAAATAAATAAATACCTAAATAGATCAATCAATCATCAGGGTTTGGTCAGTGGGGAGCACCTAAAGGCAAGAGGAGACAGAATAGGGTGACGAGAGGGAGCAGAGTTATTCCTCCCCACACCACACTAGGTCTCTGTGGGGTAGCCTGAATCCTACAGCTCCTGTCAGGGGGCCGTTCCTATACAGATATTTTGTGCAG